GCTAGAAGATCATAAAATGTAATTGATACATTGCTTTTCAAATATACTTCAYAGTTTATTTGCAATGAGAATTGCTTTTCATTTTTTAAAACGTGAATGTAATAGGTTGCTGAGAACTACAGTATAATGTTCATATGAAGTGATGAGCTAAAAACCATTTGGCGAGAAGTGTGTGATACCATCTGTAAAATCCTGAGAAGTTTTAGGCCACATGCAGATACTGTTACGGGCTTCTGCTGTACCTCTGTCAGAGGGCTGGGTTTCTGCCAGGCAGTAGTTTATATGATAACTAAATTCATTATTGTTTTYGGTAATTCTTAAGTATCACTGAAAATGGGAAAGCACTTTGGACAATATTTAGATACTTATGTACTGTTGGCCATGTATTTTAACAGTAAACTATAAAGACTGCACAGTAGCGATGATTTAACTTGCTGGAAAGTCCACAGATTCAGTTCAGAAAACTGTAGAAGTTGCCATAAAACACACTGGCAATGTGTATGTTTTGTTGGGAGCTTTTTTTGTCTAGCTGAGAGCTATGCAGGATGATTTATATCAGCTAAGCAGGAGGCCAGCAGCATCCGTGACAAGATCTGGCAGCAAGTCAGTCACACCCCGTTGTTGTGTGATAGATACCAGTTTGCTGATTGCTGATACTTTCTGAATAATCAGGCATCTCACCTTTCTCAAAGGGAGAGCTTGAGGCCCTCGCAAAGCTACCTGCTATGGCCAGGTGGGTTTCCAAGCAACAGAATGACCTGGACTGTAAACTGAAAGCCTCCTGTCATAGTTTAAAAAATAGCCTAAAAAATGTTTTTTTTTTTCTTCCCCTCATAGTTGGCTCAAATCCATCTAGGACTGCAATGCCACTGAGATAGTCCCAGCAATGTTTCTGTCTTTCCCTCGTGCTGGTGCTAGTGCTGTTCTGAATTGAGTCAGATCAACTTGCAGATCCAGTTGAAAACTACAAATTTGCTCCCTCAGGAACAGTTTATAAAGATACAGATGATCATACAAGTGCACTTTCTTTAGAGTTAGAAGGATAAGCATGTAAATTCCTTGTGATAAAAGACATGAGTTGACAATTTGCAAAATTCAACTCCTGAATATTACAGATAGAACATCTATTTTGAAGATGCTTGACCAAAATTTTGAGTTCACTAGTTTTTGAATGTCTAAGTGTGAATGTCATTCTAACTGTTAGGTTTTATGTATATTCTGGCATTTTACTGGCCTAATGGAGGTATTGCCAGAGGATGGTCTTCAAAGCCATCGCAGGTACTCACACGCCAGTGTTTTCAGTGGCCAGTTTGATGGTGATCCCCAGCATAGAAAGGGAAACTGTACTTACTGATTCAGAAAGTTTGGGAGCTGCTGGTCTAAAGCATCCTCGTGGTCTATCTGTAAAGAACATATTTTGAATTATTCTTAGAACTAAAAAAACACCAGGATGTATTAAATTCATAGTACTCTTGCAGTACTATGCAGCACTCAAAATACTCTTGCAGATGTAAAAGTGAGGTCTGCACTCTATGTGTTTAAGGAAGTGCTGACRGTCTTTAGAGTGTATAGAGTGTAAAAATAAGCATTTTCCTTAAACCACAGGTGGTTTGAAACAATAGCCCCAAGAACCATCCAGTGAATTTAACTGGTTTAATTCAAAACCAAAAGATGGTGATTTAAGTTACAGTATCAGTAGCTATTTCTGTGCTAGGATAACATAGAAAGTGTTAGTTAAAATACTAGAACCCAAATGGTTCTAAAATGTGGCTGTCCTTTCCTAATCTGTAAAGTTATCTCACCTCTAGCCTCAACAGCTTTTATGTCCCAGTTAGTCATTGTAACCACAAACATTTGCTTTGTAGTTAAAACAAGAATGCAATGTGATGAACTACTTCATAAATAAAAATGAGTTGTATTAATCCTATTTGTATTTATCTTATTTTAATTTGTTCTTAAATTTCAGAATAAAAAATCTACAAAATCCAGCGTTCTTGATAATAGTACTGGGGACCTTCATTTTAATGTGGTTCTATGTGTTTCAAAAAGAACCAGAACAATGACTTTTTTTAATTATAAAACGACACTAGACCCTTATTTCTTGCTGGCATTCTATCTTTTTCATTATAACATAGCTAGCTTGTAATGTCAATCAAAAAATCACTTTTGAATTCTATGGGAGCATGACCGACTCACTAGTAGCTATCATGCTCGACTCCACAAGACACTAGTAAAGGTAAGAGATCTAAAAAATGAATCTGACATCCTCAAATGAGTTGAATTGTTTTTTACAACCATAATTGATATGTAAATTTCTTTCCATACATCTGAAAATATTGTCTTTTAAATATTTATATAACAATAGCAGTTGGAAGGCCCTAGAAAATGTCAGAATACTTCTGTGGCATGCACTATATAAATGCATAGAAGTAAGCAGTTCCTGTTCTTAAGTCTTTGCCCTCTAAATTGGTAAGATAAAAAGAMGTAGATAAAGTGACATTCATCTTTCAGAGATGTTTGGCAGTGATTTGTGGCATGAGATGCTAATTATGGGTACAGTAAGCTCAAAATATAATTTTTTTTTTTTTTAGTTCCTACAGAAAGACAAAGGTCAGTGGAAAGCATCTGTTTCTACACRAGCAGAACACTTGCAGTTATTTTGTCTCAGAATAACAGAACAGTATTAATGTGTCATGTAGCAAATATATATATTAAGGTGAGTGAACACTAAAATAGTGTCCTTATAGATACTTGTTAGTGCATACCATAGTATCTCTTAGAACTAGCATCCTACTATACCAGAACATTGTCTGCAGCAGTGTGCTTTTAACTCAATTAATGTGAATTAAGTGGTTAAGGAATATCTGTATTTTGTAATTCTTTAAGTTCGGGATTGTGGATGCAGTACGTTATACATATCTTTATGCTAAAATAATCAGTGGTAAAATAAGATTTCAGTCACTGTTGACAACATTTGTGCTTTTCAAGGAGAGTTATGAAGGCTTATTTTGTTTAAGTTTGGGTTTAAAGACTGGAACTTTATTTGAGAATARAAGAGTGTAAATTTAACAGTCTCGTACAAAAACAAGCAAATGCAATTAGGTGTATAATGTATGTTGACAGAGAATTATTCTAAAGCTTTAATTTAAGCTGCCTTTTTACATTAAAAGCACAGAAAACAATAAAGACTTGCCTGTGGTGTTTTGTGGTAGATGCTGGGGCTTGGTGGACGCACTTTCCCTTAGCACAGGCCTTTGATGTCCATATTTGCATACAAACTAGGTTGCACATTCCACATTACTTATTATCATTTTAAAATTACATTTGAATGTCCTTTAATAAAACCGTAACAACTTTTTTTCTTTTTTTTTTTTTTTTTTCTGCTGCTGAGCTAAAAGAGGGCGTATCAGCAAGAAAGCTTAAGTATTTCACAAGGCTCTTTTATCAGGTCATTCTCCATTCATCATAATTTTTCTTGATTTCTCTCCTAACTCTCATGAGCAGCTTTTTGTAGATATACTGAAAGCAAAGCTGGCAGTGTTTGTCTTAAAATCTCATCCCGTATAAACACATTGCCTTTGTTAATCAGGTCTAAAACCCTGTCCAAATACTAGGAATATGAGGGCTGTTGGAGCAAGTAGCTAGGGTTTTGGTTGAACTGTTTGCCTGTGTTCTTACAAGCGGCTTGCCTGGGAGAGATGATATGGATCTCATCTTATTTTTTCTTTTTTTAATATCAGTCACATCCTGTACCTAAAACTATAGTGCAGAATAAGGTCAGATTTGACTGACTGCACTTTTTAGGATTGTACTTAGAACATACAGAGGTAATGCAGGAGCTCAAGTTTTTTTTTTTTTTTTTTTTTTTGAGGATTCAACCTGCTTCTAAAATTACTTTTCGTAAGTAGCCCCTCTGGTATATTCTTATGGAGCTTACACAATGCTTGTTCTTGTTTTAATCAGGCACAGCTCTGTGGGAAATAAATGGGGTTTTATTTGTCATATTTTTAAGTAAAAAAAAAAAAAAAACACACACTGAAATCTCTGTAAAATGAACTCCACTACAGCTGGGCTATAGAAAATGGAAAAAAACTGATCTTGTCTTTGATGAAAGATGAATAGTTTCTATGTAAGTCCAAGCTCTGTAAAGCTACTGGATTAAAGCTAGATCTGTGAACAAATTACAATGTCTATTTTGTAATTTCAATCTTGATTATGACATTTCTTGTTTTCTTGAAATGGAAGAAAGTAAATAATTGTATTTGTGGGTGACGAGCTTGCGAAACACAAGGCACTAAGAAGTCCTGTAAGCTCCTATAGTTGTTAATGCCTGCTGGGCTCTGTGCCAACACACAAAATATTTTAACGTTAACATCAAAGTTAGAATCTTCTTCATGCCGCCATTTGCCCACTGCATCTATTGCCTGGCTAAAAACAGGCATTCACAATTATAAACAAAACTGGATATACTGCTTCCCAAACTCATTAATTCGTTTTCCTCATTCAGCCTCTCAGAAAAAAAAAAAAATATATATATATATATATAGGCTCAATGTTAGCTTATACCCCTTTCCATCTCTTCTTATCCCCAAGCCCTCAGGCTCAGGCCTCACTCCACTACGTCAGTACAACGCTTAGCACGGCTGGGCCCTTCTTTGGTGGCCCAGGGACTGCGGCTATAGCTCTGTCTCCTTTCCCTGCCACACTGAAACCCGAGGCCGGCGCAGAGTCGCGATCGGCGGCCAGCGAAGCTGTCGCATCCCTCCGGGACGGCAGCACCGGCCGACCTCGCGCCCGCCGCCCCATGGCGGCCCCCTCAGCACCAGGCGCATGCGCAGCGCTCTCCCGCCTCGCGACTCCCCGCGCAAGCTCCTCGACGCGCGCCCGGCGCCAACTGCGCCTGCGCAGCTGCCCCTTCCAACGGCTGCAGTAACGCGCTGCGCACGCGCAGCTCCACCCCGCCCCCTTCCGCTGCCGCCCTCCCCTCGCCTCACGGAAAGGAGGGGGACGGGCAGAGGCGCGCGCCGCCGCGCATGCGCAGAGGGCCCCAGGGCTCAGCGTGCTCCCGCCGCGCCGCCTCGCGCGCCAATCGGGCGCCGCCCCGCGGCGTCGCGGCCTGTGCGTGCGTACGTCGCCGCGTGCGTGCGTACGTCGCTGCGTGCGTGCGTGCTTGCGCTCGGCGGCGGCGGCGGCGCAGCGTCCCCTGCCCCGAATGAAAGGGACGGTCCCGGCGAGAGAGCGGCCCTGAGCGACCGGCGGCAGCGGGGGGTGGGGCTGCCCGCGAGCTGCTCCTCCTCTCCCCAGCGCCGCGCCCGCCCGCCTGCCGCACGGGTGAGTGACTGAGCGAGCGAGCGGCCGGGCGCGCAGCCGCCTCTTCGCCGCGCGCCCGGGGCAGGCTCCGCTCCCGCGGCCCGCCGGCCGGACCCCCGTACTGCCCTCCCGGGCCGGGCAGCTGCTCCCCGAGCCGGGCTCGGCCGAGCCGAGCCTGCCGCCCCCCGCGAGGGTCCCGGCGCCTCGCGCTGCCCCCTCGGGGCGCCCCCGCCCCCCCGGCGCCGTTATCCGCCTCCCCGCGCGCGGCGGGACGCGCCTCGCTCCGCCCGCTCCGCCTGCGCTCTCCTTCCCGCCGGGATCCGCCCCCCCTTGTCTGCGGGTCCCGTTTCACCCCCCCACTCTCTCAAATGCGGCGCCCAAGGGGGCACGTCGCCCTTGGGGTCCCGTCGAGCCTCTCCTTTGCGGAGGCTTTCGCCAGGATGAGGGTCGGGGCCCAGTGAGGCCTGCGGCGGCCGGGAATTACAGCAGCCTTGCCGAAGCCCACCCCAAAACCTCGTTCATCCCCCCCGGGGAGCTGCGCATCCGAGGTGCTTTATCGGCTCATCTCCCGCTCGCCGTCGAGTGTGGAAACTTTCCTGGGGATCGCTCGGCGCTGCTGCCAGCCCTTCCTCACCTGGGGCGCTTCCCGTGTAATTTCGAGTTACCTCTCTATTGTTTAGGCTTTCAGTGATTGTGCCCCCTCACTCCCCACCCTTTGGTCCTCTCTCTCTCTTTTATTTTTTTTTTCTTCCCCTAGGAAAAGCCCCTATCCTGCTTTTATAGCGGCTGTAGGATCCTGAACATGGCTCTAGCCAAGATTTCCCTTGAACTCATGGCATTGAGTTATCAGCTGCAGGATCATGGTTCCTATTCCTTTGCATTATCCTATACCCCTGGATAACATGTTCCCCCCACCCGCAAAATAAGGACTATAAAGCACTGAAAGTTTCCCGAACAGAGAAGTTGTAATCTCTAGTCATCTTGAAATATATTTATGTAAATATTTCATATGGGTTTTCCTGTCAGTTTGCAAATAACTCTGTTAACACATTTAAAATAAAGTTTGTGTATTTCTTTTGGGGGTTTTATTTGGATGTCTGAGATTTTTCTTGTCATAGAGATTTAAATCCTGAATATATATATTTTTTACTGTAATTCTGTAGCCATATAGACCACATCAAAACAAACTTTGTCAGAAAACATAGCATTTAGATTTCTATCCTTTGCTGGAAGTACGAACTTGAGCTTACAGCATATTCAAGGGATAAACTTGATTGAACTTTCACTTTTTCTTTCCCCTTCTGAAATTTGCTTTTTAGCACTTGGTAAAAGCAGTATAGAGTAAAACAATTCTAAGTACAGTAAAACAAAATTCTTTCAAGATAAAATAATGATCTATTGGGGAAAACACTATGTTGAATAATTTAGTGGACACTTTAAGTAGAAATGCAAATGAACCAAAAATTTTGAGTGAAAAATCACTGAATGTKTGTTTTGTGTTATCTTAAGGTAGGTATAATCTAATTTTTTAGACCATGCACATGAAACATGTATGATAAAATGTATATAATGTATGTGTGTAATAAAATAGCGGTTTTGTAGTACACGTGTTTCGTTTTGGTGGAGATAGTGCTTTATCTTTCTCTTCAGTGTTTCAGTGGTACATCATTTCAACCTTACAAATGTAAGGTTTTTTTWAWTWWTTTTTTTTCTCATGAAGTTGGTATGCAAGATTTCTGGCAATAATATTTTTAAATAATGCAAAAATTGTTTAGCTTTTTAAACATAGAAAATAAATATTTAAGTTGTATTATTTTTCTCATTCCTGTGAAATACAGCTTGATACTTAGCAAACTGGATTCATTGTTGTTAGATTTTATGATGAAAACAAGATTTTGAGTGTTTATCTTCAGAATTGTCAGTCTGTGATGCAACTGCACATCTTAGTTTGTCTTTTGCAAAAAAACAGATACTTTTAAAGGGATAGGACAAGACATGGATTTCAGCACAAAGAAAGACGATCCTAGTTATAYCAGAATATATCAATTTTCTGATATGAGAGAAAAACWTTTTTTTTTTTTATTAGAGCTATAGCAGCCATACAAGATTAGGTAATTATTTGTATTATTTCAGCCTCAATTTGAGCCTTAAAATATCTGATATCTCAAGAAGTGAGGCTGTGTCAGATGCACATGCCGTAGTAGTGTAGTCTCGTGTGTCTGTTCAGGTGCACTGTAAGGCATGAGGTTGGAGGCATTTCATTGCAGCTCACTAAAATGTTTCTTGCAAAGTTTGCTGTACTTCAAGCTAAAGGTGATAGCTTTTTTTTTTTTTTTGGTGTGTTTTATAAATTATTTGCATGTCTAAAATCTGAATTTGCTAAGAATAGCTGCTTTTATAGTAGCTATAAAAGTATGGAGCAGCTGTGTCCCATATTTATTATGGGAAAAGACTCCTATTAAGTTAGAAGCCATACATATATACTCAAGGAAATCCCTCATCTTTCTGATAAGAGTTATCATTGCTGACAAAATTGTTAGTGATAATATCTGAACATGAAGCAAAAATAGTTTATGGGAGGAATACACTCTTAAGACGGCTAGACCCAAATGAGTGTGTGTGTGTCTGTGTATACGTATCAAATTATCTATATCACAGAACTTCTTGAATTTTAAATCATTCTGTTAATGTAACCCATCACAGCATGATTTACCTTGTGTTTTATGCTYCGAAAACAATTATTTTTTTGGTGGTATTTTTTCCTTACTTTTCTAATATAGGTCATTTTCTGGCTTTCAAATCTTTGATTAAAAGCAAAACCCAAAACAAAAAAAAACACACTGTGAAAGTCTCTCATTCTAAAACCAATCCTTCTTTTTACTCAAAAATGGGCTTACTGATTTTTTTTTCTTTAATTCTTTAGAAGAATACAGTAGAGTAAATCTTTTATGTTTGATACTTAACGGCTCTCTGTTGTCGCTGCAAAAGTATGTGACTACTTTATCCAGATTGGCACATTTTTTGTGCAAATCAGCAAGATCWGAAATCTATGCATTCTTCTTATGAGTATGCGTCATCAGCTTGTAAACTGCTCTGAGTTGAGAAAAGAAAGTGAATGAGCTGTTGGTGAAGCAAAGGCAATAGATGCAGGGCAGACACTTATGTTTTGGTGTATGAGTTTTGTAGATAATGGAGCAAGACAAACTCGATCTGGTAAGATCTATGAAAACAGTAGAGTGAGAATTTGAAAGGATTGTTGTTAACGAAAATGAACGTCAATGGAAACTTAACATTGCTCAACTTTCTGGTATAAAAATAGTGGTGGTAGTTTTAGGAGAGTCTGTCTATGCTTAAAAGCAAGCAGATTTGACTTGGCAAATTWCAAAAAAGTCATACATTTTCATGCAAATAGCCATTGTAATGCAGTCCAGATGTATGCACACCTCTGCTTTAAGAGAAATATCACACTATAGGATGGCTTTTCTAATTTAGATGAGCCTGCTGTAGGCAAAGGTGAAAGAGACTCTTTCTATGACATTGTGGTCTATTCTGTGTGACAACGAGGCTCAAATAGCTAAAGGAAAAAGCTGTAAGTGAAGAAAGTAGTATTTGTTATATAGGCTAGGCTATGTTTGCATAGTATTTTTAAGAGCTGTAGGAACAAATGAACAGAGACTATTCAGCATTGCTCCAAGAMGCACATACAGTTGTTAGGTGTTCTCATTTCTAAACTTGTGTGTTCATCTTACTACTGGATTAGGGACCTCAGTGTTACGTCTTAAAAATTGTTGCTGATAGGATATTAAATATATGATTCATATGGAGTTTAATCTTAGTTTATTTAGATGAGAATTGCAGCTGTCAGGCACTTGCTGCTAGTATGATATAGCGAAATCAGCTATAGGTCTTGAAAACATTTCCTTTGCAGCGTGTTAGTCATAGATCCTTCTAAAATTTTGTTCATAAYATGGCTTGATTAGCTACAGCATATCTGTGTAATACCTAAAATGGTAACATTTTATCTTTTCATCTCATGGGGTAGTTACTCATCTACAGTACTGCTTTATGAGCTTTTAAATTCAAAACCTGTTCTAGATGCTAAGCTGGACTCTTGGGGTTTTCTTTGGTTTTGTTTTTGAAGAGGTTCAGTAGCTTGGATTTTATTGCATGCAGAGATGGTGCATTTTCCTCACGTTGCTGTGCTGTAGTAATTATAGGAATAGGATGAAAGCAATGTAGTATTTTTTTTTTCCCACAGAGTTCTAATGATTGCAGTAGCTGTTATATTTTCYATTTATTTCTTCCTAATCCCTGTTTTATATTAGTGTTTGAAGTTTAGTGTTCGAACTTACCTAAAAAACTAAATTTTGCTTGCTGATACAATTTCATTAAGACTTGGGAAAATGTGGCCCGCGTTGGATGCGTGTTTATTTGGATATATTGTATTAATRTGAACAGGTAAAAGGGAGAGTTTTCTGTTAGTAATTATATTTATAAAATTGTAAATTGCTTGCTATTGATGTTAACATGTTAATTGCACCTTTTGTTTCTGTAGCATTGAGAGGATTGAAGTGGCATTCTAAGGTCATTTAAAATCATGACAAGCTCAGTCGGACAGAAAAAAGTCTCTTCAAGACAAAGGAAGTGTGGGTTTTGTAGATCTAATAAAGATAATGAATGTGGACAATTATTGATGTCAGAAAACCAGAAGGTGGCAGCACATCACAAGTGTATGGTAAGTAACCCATGGGGGAAAGGAGCTGAACATAGTGAACTGCTAGAAGACTCCAAAACAAATGAAAAATTCAGCCAGTTGTGACATTGGTACAGATTAACCACTGTTGTTTGCAGTGTTTTTGATGATCAAATATGTAAATATYCTGTATTACTTATACCCCTAAAATAAATTTTGTTTTTATGATTTTAGCTGTTTTCATCTGCACTGGTATCTTCACACACTGATAATGAGAGTCTTGGTGGATTCTCTATTGAAGATATTCAGAAAGAAATAAAGAGAGGCACTAAACTGGTAAGTCTTTCATTTTGGCACTGGAAAATGGAAGACAAAATTTTCTTCTAACAAGTTTAGCATTAAGTTCAATATATAGTAGTATCTTTTCTTTTTAAAAAGTACCTTTACTCTAAAGTAATGGAAAACTTTTGAATGTTGAGATAAATTTGATTTAAAATTGAACTCTTCTTTAAATGAACTGAAATCAGGAAGGTAGTATTTCCTAAATGTTTCTAATCTAGTAATTTCTATTTACTGTTTTCTGTTAGATTTCAGAATGAGTCCCACATTCTAGGACTTAATAAAGGTAATTTTGGGCCTTTAGCATTATTTGGCTTTGCTGCCRAACTCTTTAATTATCAAAATACTTTTATTGCTTCCTTTTATATTGATTTAAGAGGGCTTTATTAACACAGACCTCTTGTGAGTCTTACAGTGCTAGTTATGGCTCCACTGAATTTGTAAGACTTGAGCAGCAGTGACTTTATTAAATGTTTATTGATTCTTGGCTAAGAATAGTGCTAAATATAATTATATAACTACAATTATAATAATAGTCCAGTGTTTTGATTGAATCTTTTAGCATATATGAAACTTGATTGATGCTGCTTATCTGAAGCTYAAAGAAAAAAACTGTTCACAGGTCACTCATCCTGTGATTAGGAACTTAAAATGAACATGATAGCAAATGGAACTACTCAAGTAAATTTTTTGATACTCCGGTCTCTTWATTGTTTTCTGAAAGTTTTTGTTTTTGTGTTACTGGTGGTTTCCTACTTTGTGTTTCTTGATCTTTCGTGTTCTTCCACTGATGACACAGAGGGTTATATTCTAGGAACTCMGTAGCTGCAGGTGTTAACTGGATTCAGGTTTTGTATAAAACCTCAACTATTTAATAGGTTCAGAGTCCTGAGATCTTTCCTGTTTGGAAAGAATTTACAGGATAATTTTAGGTTTTAATTTAGGTTTGTTCTTTTACGTGGGAACACACTGAGCAAAAAGCTCTCAGTGTGGTGTATCAGTAGTTGTACTGATAGGTTGTATTTGTCTGCTGCCAGATTTTTATGTAGTTTCCCTCCCTTAGTAGATGCTGCTGCTAACCAAATATGCACTGAAAATTGAGCCTTGTCCTGTAAGTTGAAGTGATAATAGCTGATATGTGGAATGATTCTGATGTAAGTTTCTGGATGAGAAAAATGAGTGGGTTTGAACCTGAAATGGGCCACTAAACTTCTTAAATCTAAACATTTGGGAATATAATCCGTTGAGATCATTATTTCTGTTAGCTGTGCCCTTTTTTTTTTTCTTTTTTTTAAAAGAGCTTACCTATTTTGCAGCTGGTTATTCTTCGCATACACCTGATGTAATAATTGGTGACTATTTGGACAATCGGGTTTGTCCTGGTATGATAAATACATTTTTGCTGCTGTGAAGCATAGATTGCTAAATCAGTGTAACAATTCTTGTGGTCTGTTTTGTTCATGCAGATGCATAATGGTGCTTGTGAAGATAGTTTCTTCCATTTAATCAATTCTATGTTTAAAAATAATGACTTACAGACTAAAATTGAATGGATTGATATCATTTCAACCTTGGTCTTTTAGAAGTGGCTTTAGTCAGCCATTATTATACATTAAATCATAATGTAAAACAGAATTGATATGAAATAGTCATTCAAATTAGAACTAGGAAACAGTGTGTAGCCTTAGCATTTCTGGATTTACAGAGGAGTAAATGATGTGAGACTTAATATTTTTTAGGGTTTAACTTTATTAAATTGAGGAAAATGAAAAAATGCTGTATTATAGAACTTCAGCATTATTTTGTTTGAGGTATTTGAGACTAATGAGAAACTTACCTAAACCAGGGAGTCAAGTAATGTGATGGGCAGAAAACTTATTCCACAGACATAGCTAGGGAATATCTGGCGTTGTACGTTTATGTTTAAGAGTTTGGAATTAATGTAATTTTTCAAGGGCAGGAAGGGAAGAGGGAGAGCTACAGACATAAAACTCTGGTTATCTTTGGGAAATGCTGAGATTTGGAGCGTAGAGAAGAACTTTGACAGTATCAGTATTTCATTACCTAATGCAGTACGAAAAGGGCAGTGAACAATTTAGAAGCGTGATGGATGGTATAAACTAAACAAGAAAGTGAGCTTAGTGTGAGAAGGATATCTCTTTTAAGAAGGAAGAGTAGAGGTTGCCACTTAACCTCTTTTGTGATATAAATACAAAAATGAAATTGAATATAATTGAAAGATTCCTCATATGTAGCAAATATTTACTGAATTCAGATCTTTGGAAATGATTTAAAGAAATMTCTGTATGGAAAAAAAGGAGGGAATTAGATGTTGCAGTTAAATTTGCCAACTGTCAGTATTTCTGACTGTACAGAGTTCACTGCCAACAGRAGGTTCTTTTCCTCTCATACTTTCATAACATAATGCAGAAATAATAAGATACAGTTTGTCATTTTAACTTCTCCGAAATAACTGGCACAAACAAAATCCTTGGGGACAGRATATTGAGATGAACAGCAATGTCACTTCCATAAAATATGTCATATTCTGCAAAAGTATTACTTATTATTCAATGAAGAAAATAAGGGCATGATGATTTTTGAACTACTATATAAACGCAGCAAGTATCTCCTTCCTTTTAAAATACATGAAGAAAAACATTAGAAAACAGGTAGAGTGAGAGAGACAGTRTATACCTCAAAATGAGTAAGAGTACTCCTGTCCATAACTCTACTTATTTCCACATCAGGAGTGGTAACTATATTGTTTATAAATACAGAAATATTAAAGCAACTCTAACAGCATCTTTGGTTTCTCTTTTWTTTCCACAGATGTGTTCCCTGTGCCATTGTCCTGGAGCAACCATTGGATGTGATGTGAAAACGTGTCACAAGACATATCACTACTATTGTGCTTTGCATGATAAAGCTCAGATAAGAGAGAAACCATCACAAGGCATTTACATGTAACTATTATTTATTTACTGTATTTTTTTTTGTATTTATATTTCACATTATTTGTAAAAACACCTTTGGAATCTTAAACCTGTGTTGCAAAACAGTTCTAATGATGACCGTGTTCTATATAGTGATTTGCTAGAAAAGCATATTTTCACTGCAAGATTTGTATATCAGTGAGTCTTACAAGTGGGAGAAAAATGTGCTGGCATTTAAATTTAAAAGATGAGTAAATAATTTGTGAATCGTGACTGACTTGACAGTTTTCAACTACTTTGTTTATAGGATTTTATGTCGAAAACACAAGAAAACTACGCATAACTCTGAAGGTAAAATTATTCAATATAAACTTTTCCCATTGTAGAAAGATACTTTGATTAAATTTATTTTTTTCTGGAAAATATAAATGTTTTCAGTAAAAATGAGAACTACTTTTTTTTCCTGAAATAATTCCTTTGGAAGCCCATCTGATTTCTGTATTTTCTCAAAAAAAAAAAAAAAAAAAAAGTGGAGAAAAACCCAAAATCTAAATTAGAGGATGTTCAAAATCTAATTTTAGGATGTTTACTTCTGTCAAAGCAAGGTCTGGGCAGAAGTTGTGCATTCCCTTCTGGGAAGAGGCAAGCTTGTATTTGCAGTTAGATATTTATGTCTAAAATGCATTAATTTTGTCAGATAACAGCTGATTTTTGCCATTTCTCACATTAATATACATTCACTATTAACTACCATATACAACTTAAGTCTCCAATTAAGAGGGATTCCATATAAAATAAAAGGGTTTGTGATCAGATCACTCAGAGCTGTATGCATACATTAATGAGAGCTGTGCCTTTCTGCAGAGTAGAGTAGTAAAATGTGCAAAAGCAGCTAAATTTGTGGTTTATTAAAATTCCAAGCTAGTTGTGCAATTGTGTGTGTTGATTTATCCTTTTTCATATTATATCTGAGTTTGGATAAATGAAAGGTTGTTTAACTTTGCCTCATTTTCAACTGAAATTTCATCATAAATTGAAGTGATGAGGAGTACGTTGCTATTTCTGTTAGTGAAGATTAAATTTCATAAGTCATTTCTCTTTCTCCAAATATATGCATGATGTGATAAATTACTTATGCTGCTGATGTATTGATGGTAAGGTTTGGATTTTAGTTMAGTGCTCACAAAGATACAAAGGAAGTTTTTTAAAAAAAATATCCRGTGATGTATTTTGAAATATCTGTTTAGTTACACTGAAATACTGTGGTGCACTTTGTGTAAAACGTTCTGTGTTCTCATTTTACTGTTGTTAGGCTTAAACCAGCAAAGCAGCACAGGTTACGTACGTTAATTCTCCAAAGACTGAAATGGGGCCATGTTGTCTTGTAGTTAGAGACTTTGTTCGTTTGGATTTGGTTTGTTGGCAGGCAGAAACAGARTATGGCAAGTCCAGAGAAAGATGTTAACTCTTTAACTGTTACTTGGGTATATTGTATGGGCCCATGACTTGGTGCTTGTTGTCTATTGAAAAAATACCTCTAATTCTGTATAGAGTTCAATGCTAGTAGTTTTCTACATAGATTTTCTTGCAGGGTCTGAGCTTATACTTTTCTCAAATGAGTTTTCAGTAAACGTTGCTACCAATTGTACAGCATCAATCTCTAATGACCTTTACATTTTGTGACATCTCTTTGAAAGGACATGGGAAAAATAGCTACAAAAGCATTACRTTTTTTCCTAACAGTCACTGATGACATTTTAAAAAAATTAAGAGTCACTTAAAGAGATCCTCAGACTAAGGGGAAGAAAAAAAAATTCTCAAAGAAAAAAAAAGGCATCTTATTTAATGTTTGTTTTCAATCTTAAATATTTTGTTCTATGACACTTCACATTTTTATGAATCTGTGGAGTTATACTTCAATTTTAATTTTTCTGATTTTTTTAGCATCCATTTGAGATTTGTAACCCGATATTGTCTTCCATATAGTGCATTCTGTTTTCTCAGACCATACAATTTAGGGAACTCTCTCTGCTAAGCTATAGCCATGGAAATATCGTTACTTAGTCATAGATTTGGTAATGCCAGATGCTGAGGCTATCATTAAGAAGGAAAAATACATTTTGTATCTCTCTAGTGGAAATGACTTAACATTGTATAGCAGTGGTCTTTGGCTACGTTGGAAACTGGTTACCTTTGGAAGATAGAAGTTATGTCTCTAAAGGAGAAGGTAAAGGATGTTTTCTGCTATGCAAGAAGGGTCTTTGGAGAGTTTGTTTTGTAGCATTTAAATGCTGAAATTTGCTTAATGGWATGCTCACTGGGAGGTGGGAGACAGTAGGGCAGGGCATGATAGTTCTGTGTATGCACTTTATTGGCTTGATTCTGTTTAAAAAGTGTTTTAAAAAAAATATCAGAGGAATCTAAACCTGAAAGGATGGTGCTGTATCAAACCAGCAAATCCTTGCAGAAAAGAGCAAGCAGACTAGGCAAGGCTACCAGACACTGACATAGCAGCTTTTTTTCTTCTTTTGTTTCTGGATATTCATGAACTCTTGCTCTCAGCAGTGTTTCTGTGCCAAAAGAGTTAAAGCTAATCCGTGGGGTGTCACTCAATGTACTTCCCAGAATCRCTAGAATTGTCAGCCCTTTTCAAAGGAAACTTGCTGTTTCTGCTCTGCAAGGCTGTRTTTGGAATATCTGTATTTTTATCTTTTGTTTTCTGTATTTGGATTTAATTGTTGCTGTCCACATTTTTATTAGATCATTTCTGTTAGTGGATGGTATAATTTTTAAATGTGTGTGTTTTGATGCCATCTAGAACAGTTGTTTTTCTGTCAACAGTACTGCTGCTTAATAGTGGGTTCAATATCAAGTTCCCTTGATAATTAGTGCTTTTTGCATCCTTGCTCAAATCTGAGATCTAGCCTACCTCTTGTTAGAAGTTCTTGTCAACAATAACAAAACTTTAACAGTTTAGTAACTGGTGAGGAAAATTTCCTGAAGTTACGTAGACAATTGGTTAAAGGACCCTGTTAAAACCTAATAAAAATAACCTCTTAAATGTGGTTGTTTTCAGGAAGTTCAAGTGGAAAAACTACTTCAGATTAAGAATTTCCCTGTTAATCAAGATAAAATTAATATGGTAGGAGTTTACCATCTTCTAATTGACAGGAGTTGCTGTTGAATATAAAAATATGAAATTTGGTGACATGGTAGTCTGCTCTTACACCCGTTCTCTATTTGTTCAGCAGATAGTAACTTTTTGCTAATTTATCTATATTGCCTAACTTTCAGGTGGCATAGAATTCAAAGGCAATTGTGTTTCTCCTGTTTGTTCCATTGTGTGTTTATATAATTCAGACTAATTTTGAGGGGCTGTTTTCCCACGTTCTAGAAAAAAGATCAGAAGAAGTGAGATGCTCTAACACTTTGCTGTTAACAGATTTGAAAGAAACTGTTCAGGGGAGCAGACCAAGTTGTTGGAAGCTTGATGTCTAGATTTCTGTGTTGCTGTTTAAAAAGCTAACTGAAAAGAATCTGACCTGAACTTCAAGTAGAGACTGAATTCATAATCTAAGCAATCCCTCTAAATCATTAGTACCTAACAGACTATAGGAATTGTATTGGTGCCTTGGACTACCACAGCTTCCTTCCTGTACTAATTATGGGAATTTATCCAATGTATTGGAAATAATTGTTGCAAAAACTTAAATTTTGGTGTTCTTCAGTTCCTTGCAGGCAGGATTGCCTTCTCCTTTCTATATTTACAGCTAATTGAGCTGATCAGGAACAGTTTAATATCAGCCAAGATAAGGATATGATATCTTATTGTTCTATTACATCTGTTACATAGTAATGTAATGAAGACAGCGATATAACTGTATCTGTTGTTAATGCTTAAAACAGATGCTTGGGAACCAGGGAGGGTAAGAAAATTAAAGGGTCCACAATTCTTGTTTGGTTGTACTCGGAGCCCAAGGGAACTCTCTTTCCATAATGGAAATAAGAACATTTCCCCTCTCAGCACTTTTTATCTTATTTTTTTTTCTGAGCAGACATGAAATCTGTCTCAGTAATTTGAGTCAGGATAATATTTCTCTGGAAGACCTACTTAGAGATGCTGCAGTCTGTATCAAACCAATTGCTTATTCAAGGTTCTGCTTAAACCGGAGGTTGGCAGGAAAAAATATCCAAACCACATTGGCATTATTGAGTAGGCAACGTCTTGATTGATCTTGGGATGCCTGAATCGGTGTTCCTTCGTAGCTGCATTTTCTTTAACGCTATTTTCCTTAGGTTTGCCTACACCTGACTGCGTTAGTGCACACAGCAGTAAAAGTTTCCATAACGTGGCACTTCAGTTGTAAGATTCCTGCTGGTGGATGGTTGCAAATCCCTTTCTAGGCTCCACTAACTCAGAGCCTTCTTGTCTGTCTCCTGGAGAAAGCTGCACGGAAATGGCATCCAATTCAGTGTTAGGACAGAGCCAGTTGCTCCGGTCAGTAAGTTAGCACCCTTGTATGCAGTCTGTTACAGACTAAATTACTCAATAGGTATTTTCAGGAAGCATCACCACAGTGTCTTCCTGAGGGAAAAACACAACAGCTAAAGGAAAAGAAAGAAATCTGAAAGTAATGTGGTCAGTGGTTTATACTCTGAGGAGCTGCTCTCTGTTATTTAAATTATGATTCTGGCAAGACATTATCCCATTAACAACAAAAGATTTACCAGACCGCTGGTCAAGCGCTCTGATTTTGCCGATAAATTAGATGCTTTGATTCTTTTCAAGCTTGGCTGATGATTATTTGCTCTAAAAAGAGGTTAGACTGTGTGATTGCGAAGGAATATTTTATTCATTTTGCGATGTGAAGTGTACTTAACAAATAATTCCACGTATTCTGTGCTATAGATACTATTCAGTCAAAAATAGCTTTTGTACAAGGTTCAGTGGTGTCTTGAAATGTCTGGTGGTGCTTTTGAAAGGGTTAGTAGCTGGACCTAGCGGGTAATTTAACTTTTCCCTCTCTGCTCTTAGTTTTTCTGTTTTACATGTGTTTCATGTAACTGAGTCTTTCAACCATTTCGGAAAAGAAACAATCTAAAAATGACATTCRGAATTTTGATCTTTTCACAAAGCTTTTTGATAAAACCTTCTGTTTCATGACCTGTTTACCTGATTCCGTGTTTGTTTGCAACTATTTTTATGCAAGTCTGCTTTTTACTGCTTATAATACATTCACATTTTGATTATTGACTACTGGAGCAGTAAGATTTTTAGGTTTTATACCATTGCTTTTCAATTTAAAGTAATAATTTTGTCACATGGTTCATYATTTTTCAGTCATATTTTAAGGACAACATGCTGAAGTAGTTTTTTTCTTTCTCTTAAAATCCATTTCTCTTCTGAAATATACTAGTAAGGTTGATTTTAGCCTTCGTAATTTTTAGAGATTCTTTTTTCGTAAATATATTGTAAATATATATATATTTACTATTGCTATTATTTTAAGTATTTACATAATAACATGTCTAAGCCACTTCTCCATTCTAAATTTTGACTTTTTTAATGACTAGTCCTACTTGCAAATGTATTTTCCCATCAAATTTGGTTATTATCTTCCTCATCCGGATGTAAGGTCCTTTGCTTCTGGCTCACTTAGTTCATTGTTTAAGGTGATATAGGAGGTAGKTAAAGTAAGAAATAAAAGCCATTCTTTTACACATCCACTTTTTATTTGTTGTTTCACAACCTTTAAATCACTCGATTCTTTATATTACTTTGCTTTAACTTAGGCAATTCCATGTACATTTGCAGCTCATGTAGTAAAAAATAGACCRATGATACCTCAACCTCTTCTGTGCCAAGAGTTATTTTTAAGCAGCAAAAGATCTTGAGGTCCTTTTCCCTTCTAGTTGTGATTGAAGGAGAATTTTTAGTTTTTTTTTTTCTCTGAAGAAAGAGACATCTCCTTCTGGGATCTCCTTGTTAACAGCYTATTGAATAGAAAATTTTGCAATACTTTTCAGTACTCATTTCTGAAATACCAATGTGAGGCTTGTCTTTCTACTCTGCAGAATTTACTGTGTCATGTTCCTAGGTGCTTTTGAAAAAAGTCTTATCTCCTCTTGATTTACCACCACCCCCCCCCCCCAATATCTTTATGAGAATGTATTGCATTTTGAACTTTTTCAGATACAGCATTTAGGCCCTTTGTGGGGAAAAAAAAACTTGCAAGAAAAGAACTCCTTTGAAGAGTTTAGTTAAAGGTATATTGAGAATATTGTGGTTTTAAAAGCCAATAAATGGGATATGGGATGGGTCAGGTGAAGAACATGTAGGTAATCTCAAGGGGGTCAGAGTATGGGTGGTATCCATGATAAAACATCCTCTGGTCAGGGAGGAGTTGAACAACTTTTTGTGTTTTCCTTAGTTCAAGCTGACATGAGAAGTTGGAAACACTCAACCATCAGATGCCAGGGAAACAGGGTAAGCTTGGCAGTGGGTCTGAGGGGAGGGATAGGGCACAAACCAAATTGTATATTAAAAGACCATCTGAGGCAGGTGTGTTTTATACCTGGTTACAATCTCTTTCTTCCTGTACTGTTACACTAGCTCACAGTGCTGTTAAAGAGAGAAACTTGAATATTTTGAGTTACCAGTTTTGCAGTCAGGTATGATAGTGCAGGTCCTGACATCTTGATGGTGATAATCTGTAGGTCGAGGTCACTTGTAGTATGAAGATCTTAATCTGCAAGGAGCCTTTTTTCCTTTAAGGAAAGGGTTGTGCAGCATCTGGATTTCAGTGAACTCTGAACTTTAATGGAAGTACTAGTTTTGAGGACAGAGAAAGGGTCAGTCTTTGAGAAGCTGTGCAATGCTGATGCTTTCTTTTATACTATACACTGAAACAATCTTTTAAAAACACAATCTATTTACCTTTTAAATCTTAAGTTAGAGTCTTAAATTCGCACAGTTACAGCGCAAAAATAGCACTTAGGAATTCTATAAGGAGGCGGTGACATTTCTTATGAAAAATTAGGTTTCCTGGTGTGCTGATTTTTTGCAGTTATGTATTTTCAGCTTTGTGTGTGTGACTGCAGGAAGTTCAGGATGTGCTTTAATCTTATTTGGAAAATGAGGATGGACTATAGTGTGTTAAGTATATATGACAGAATTGATGAGGATCGTGGCGGGGGGGAAAAAGACATGTAGATGAGTGAATGGACCACAGTTTGCTTCATTAAAGATAGCAGACAAATCCTTGGAGTGATTTGGGAAAGAATATATTTTACCTCTTGCATACTGATGTTATTTAAACGGTCACCATTTTAGTAGTCACATTTAGTAGTAAAAAAGTACTGCATGAGCCATTTATGACTTGTGTAAATGTAAAAGTAGAGACAAAGGCTGAAAGAAATGTACTTAAATACATTTAAATACATGAGTGGAAAGCTCATGTTTATGATGAGGGACAAGATGAARTAGAATTATTTTAGAAACCTTTTAAGGTTATGATATTTGCTGTATAAGATTTGAGTGTCGGTGTGATAGCAAAGTTATATAATCATCTCTGCAAATTTTAGCAAGTTATATTTCATTATGTAAGATTGTAAATTTTGAGAAGAAATTGTAAAATCTATTGTTTCACTGTCTAATCCGTGTCATTGAGTATTTTTTCAGAGTAAGGTAAATGATGGTGCCCTTTTCATCTGATTAGGTATCAATGTATATATTGAAGCACAGTAATGTTGTGGTAGTTTTGTATTTTAATAGAGACTGGAGAAAACCTGTTTACAGCTGATGAATCTGGCATATAACCCAAAGGAATTTTTAGATTTGCCTGAATCTCTTGGCTTCTCAAATGTTTGCTTCTTTCTAAGCATGCTTTGGTAATGCTTTGGGGGAATTGTATTTCAGTATAACTTGTCGTGATGCATTTGGATTAGTTTTCTCTCCTCCAATAATAAATATGGGAGAAGCTTCTTTCAGGGGTCACCAACAGATCTGATAGACTGAGCTTAATAGGATACACTGTATGCCAACGCCTCGGGCTTGTGGTTCAGTTATCTTCTGCTGAACATTGGTGGCAGTGGAATACATTCAAGGCTGTAATTTCACTTTTTTTTTTGCAGTAGATGCACTGTTGATCCTGAGGTTAGAATAAATGTGCTTTGATGGGTAGATGATACTTTAGATAAYGAAAACACTACACATCTCAGTGAGACAGCTTTGGCCTCAAATAAGATGTCCTGCCTGAGTGTTGAGACCATGATATCATGGTAATAAGTGCCCTAGCAAGACAATGATAATTATAGAACTGTTAAATGCTTATTAATGTCTGAGGTGGATGGCCCAGATCTCCATTAGTGTATCCATTCGTTGGGAATCTAACAATGATGTGGTTTGGATTTTGAGAAATAATTTCTTTGGCAGTGGGTATGTGTGTTTTCTTAAACAGGTCCAGTGATTCTTTTATTAACATTTAAAAGAAAATGACTATTCATTTGAGCAGTTTGTAAGGAAATTTGTTAGCAACTGAATTCAGCAAAGCTGGTTGTTCAGTACTGAAGGTATAAATTCATTGGGTTGTAGTGGAAGCAGCCTTGAGAAGTTTGCAGAATTGACTATATTAACTGCGTAGTTCTGAGTAACCAGAGGACAGATTAGAGTGCTGGCCTGTAGAACTATGCAGCAATTCAGCAATCATTTTCAAGGAATTTGTCATATTTGGTATATCTTCAATAAAACTATACATAGCTATATGCATAACAGGCTATAAATACTTTTAGGCTTTTTGTCTGTCAATGTCAAAAAAGCACAATTTTTTAGTAAACTGGCTGCTGTCTGTAGCTGTAGATGTAAAAATGCACTGTACATAGAATAAAATTACAGGTTTGTTTCACAAAGGCAAAATATATTTCAGTTTTAAAATGACACTAATATTGTAGCCAAAATGAGATTTTTTTTTCGTAAGTCAAAAGTCATTGGTTATTAAAATGAGGAGAGGGGGTTTCTTTAGAAACATTGGCATAATTTCTAGTGCAATTTGCACTGAGGGAATGCACTGTAGTAATAAAATAGAAACTCATTTCATTGTAGAAGACATTCAGTTTAAATAAGGCTGAYTTTCAATGGAGACATGTTTCTGAGGAGACATTTTGGCATTGTAAGAAAGTGTAAGATCCGTTAAACATGTTTTGTGTAAGATGCAAAATCATGCGATATGTAAATAAAAATAAAAATAGTGTTTTCAGAATCTGCAGTTGCATGTTTGTAATAAATGGAGAAAAAACGTTTATTTCTGAGCAAAACACAAAATATTTTTCTGCTTTTTAAATTTTTTTAGGTTTTGCTTTGTTTAAATTTGAGAATGTTATTTGATGATGTTTTCTACTTCTAAAGCAGATTTAGAAGAAAGTATCAATGAACATGAGTTGGAGCCTTCGCCTCCCAAAGGAAAAAGAAGGGGTCGTAAGGGAAAGCCAAGAAAAACAAATTTAAAAGGGCAAACAGAAGACACTAGATCTACGTCCTCACATGGCACAGACGAAATAGAAAGCAGTTCCTATGTAAGCAGTAAATACGCTAAACTTCTTAGAAGAAAGAATTGCATATATCTTCTCTGCAATTAAGATTTTGGTTAAAATTTGTCTGAGCCTCCAGCTGGTGGCCACAGGCTTTTAAAATTAAAGCCTTATTTGTAACCCAGCAGTATATTTTAGTAAAATGTTTTTCTTTCAGAGAGACAGGTCTCCCCACAGAAGCAGCCCCAGTGATACAAAACCTAAATGTGGATTCTGTCATGCAGGTGAAGAAGAAAATGAAGCTAGAGGAAAGCTTCATATATTTAATGCCAAAAAGGCTGCAGCACACTATAAGTGCATGGTGAGTAATGATATTGTTGTTAATCAGTCTAATATGTCAATTTTCTGTGAATTGCTTTTTTAGGTTTTCATGCAGTACCTTCACATGAAATTATACATTAATATAGTCTGTGTGCCGGTGAGGTCTTTCAGTGCTGAAGTGTTGTGAAGTGAGCAATTCATTTATTTTCACTGCAGGCAATATGGATAAAAGTTGGCTATGTGCTAAGAGATGGAATTAGTTCAGAGACTCYTTAGGTTATTAAAAATGCTCCCTTAACATCTAAATGCATACACAGCAGTTAAAAAGGAAAACACAAACTGGAAGAATCCACTGCAAAAAAATGAAATGCTAGTAGCTCAGCAGATGTCCAGACAAGATTCAGGAGGAGTCAGTGAACTTCATGACTTTTCTGATAAGTGGATTTAGCCTGTGGCAGTCAAGTAGAAAAAAGGAAATGGAAGCTCAAGGAGAAACTGTACCTTTAGCTGCAAATTTAGAAGAAGCAGCCCTCCACGTTTAGAGAACTATTAGCTTGAGCTATTTAGATGGCCACATTTGAAGAATTATTAGCTTACACATTTCAATGAGCATGAGTAGATAGTGCTGTCTTTCACCCAGTTACTTCTATGGATGAGTTAGGGCTTTCCAGAACAAGCTTGGTAGTTTCTGTTCTGCCTCAAAATGAGTAAGCAGTCCTGTYGGTCTGTGGAGTATTAATATAAATGTTTTCATATAGTTTTCTCACCAAACTGGGAGCTGGTACATGCCAGGAAACCTTAYAGTGTTCTTAGCTGGTTTGTGTGTCTGAGATTCAGTTTTAGGGTAGATTAAACTTAATATACAGGGAATGCTGCCAATAGTAATAATACTTACTCCATTGTCATCTCTAGGGGCTCGTCAGAGAGATGGATGYATGTTGTGCCATGAAACTTGAATTGTGTATGGCACAGGGAAAGAATTGCAATAGACCCAGAAAGTTCAGTGATATAATTAATGATATTACTTATAACTTGGTACTTTTAGCATTGTAGTCATTTTTTTCTACTGCTTTGTCTTTTAAAATATATTGCTCCAACACAACAGATATGAGTAAGCTAGTCAGGTGGGTATCAGAAGAAATATTCAGCACACCAATCTAAGCTGTTAGCATGTTTTTGCTTTGTTTTTTTTTTTTTAAAGCATATCCTGTCTGAGAACTGAGTACTGAATAATCTCTTATGTGACTTTTGCACGTAAAGCTTTTTGTAGTCACTTGCTGGTGACCTGCTGAAATGGACTTGCTTGTTTTACAGTTGTTCTCTTCTGGCACTGTCCAGCTAACAACAACATCAAGGGCAGAGTTTGGTGATTTTGATATTAAAACTGTACTTCAAGAAATCAAGAGAGGAAAAAGAATGGTATGTATCTGCAGGATGTGGTGAACTTACTGTTGATTCTTCTAAGATAAGTGTAGTTGTGCCTCCTTTCTTTTTCTGAGTCGATCTTTTTCGTTTGTTCCTTAACCCAACTTAAATGTACAGTTAATTTTGGAATAGTTAGCAAGARAAGAATCATCTTAAATATTAACTTCAGGAACAATAAAATATTGCATTGTATGTGCAAGCAATGTAGCTATTTTTAATATGATGGACATGTAAACCCTTCTCTTTGTTCCTTAATAAATTAGTTAATTTTTTAAAGTTACAGTTAACTTTTATTGCAATGATGATCTGACAAATAAATTACTTTGTTTTGAAAGAGTAACAGTAAACATGATAAAYGTTAAACTGAATATTAAGAGACGAGATTGAAAGACTAAACAGTGCAATTTTTCTCTATTCCCTAWCAGAAATGCACACTTTGCAGCCAGCCTGGTGCTACAATTGGGTGTGAAATTAAAGCCTGCATCAAAACGTACCATTACCACTGTGGAGTAGAAGACAAAGCTAAATACATTGAGAATATGTCACGAGGAATTTATAAGTAAGGGCCTATGTAATTCTTGAGTCTATCCTAACACTTTGTTTCTGCCCAGTCTGACTAATCATGTGTAGTCTTAACAGAAAAATCTGTTCAATGTTTTAAAATAACTGTTGATGCTGCAGAATACTTCAGTTAACTCTGATTTTCTGTAGTAGTCACATAGTAATGTGAACATTAAAAAAAAAAAAATCAAATGATAATTTCCCCTCCTTGATTAATCTGTAATTTACTCTAATGAAATCCTATTAATCTGCCTTGTGGTTCTCCTATATTGGTGCATTTTGTAGCTTATTTTTGTTCTTTTGGACTCCAGAATCCTCCATCACCTACTTGTTCAGCTGCTGCTCTCTGTTAGTGCAGCTAAAGTTGCAGCTGAAGTTGCCAGTGGTGGTGTGCCCACAAGAGGGCATTCTCTGAGCAACAGAGTTCTTAAAAACTGCACTTTTCATCAGTTTTGACCTTCTGTTGGCTCGTCTTCACTTTTACCTTGCTTTCCTTCTTATTTTAGCTGACTAAAGCCCATGAATATGCTGAGTCTTGCCTGTGGAACATCACAAAACCAATAGAGAGTTTGTCTTGAAGCTGTTTTCAATAAAACCCCTCTTTTGTTCTTCTGTTTTAGACTCTATTGTAAAAATCATAGTGGAAATGATGAAAGAGATGAAGAGGACGAAGAAAGAGAAAGCAAAAGCCGTGGAAAATCAGGCACTGACCATAACGACATTCCTCAGCAGCAGCTCAATGGAAACTAGGTATGGAAGTTTGTCCTGACAGATCTGTTRCTGAAACTGAAATGCAATATATATTTCACGTAGTTTATTGCAGTAAAATATTTAAATCTAGTGTATGCAGATATGTACTTTTTATGGGCATACTGTAGAAAAATGGGGAGGATTTTTTTAATCCAGCTGACTTCTAACTGTAAGAAGGGAGGCCCTCATTTCTGTTCCTAAATGTAGATGTAATGTCAAAGCTGCTAAATGCTTTTTTGTATGATTTTAAATTTACTATTGTTTTCATCGTTTTTTAAACAGGTTCAAGGGACAGAGTTATAGAACTGGGATGGCTAAGACATCATAACTACTAATTCTTTTAAATTGTTTTCTAAAATCAGAAAAGGGTTAGTAACTTTTTACTACCCAACTCTGTTAGAAATTTCATTGAACTGCCTGAAACGTTCATGTGTGTGAGCCTTCAGTAAGTGGCAGAGTTTTACATGTCAATATTATGTAGTTTGTAGTCTGCAGTGTCTGGAAACAAAAAAAAGAAACACTATATAAACGATATGTAATATGTACAGTGTCAAAAGTTAAGGCAGACATTGAAATGAAGTAAGATCTATATTTCTGGAATGAATAAAAACCTTAAGATTTGGAATGTGTTAAGTTTAGTGGATTCATGCAATGAGGGAGAGTCTTAGCTAGTTTAATTAACAACGTGGACAAGTTCATGGTGGCAGCAAGCTGGTACTTTGTGAATTTTACATTTTCTTTCATATACAAGTTACGGAGGCTGGACGTGGGAGAGTCGCGCTCTGTTTTTGCTTGCAAAGCACACGGTAGGAGAGGACTGGGTGTGCACCGGAGCACGCTTGAACATTTCAGGTTGTTCCCGTTGTGAGTGCTCATTCTGCCTGACATTGTTGGCGGGAGATTTACTTGAGCAGCTGTTGGTTCTGAGCTGTGAGCTGTAGAACTCATGCCAAAGGGCTGTAGTTCATTCTTCCCCCCGACAACCCACCTTCTGCATCCCTCATTTCCCCAGAACACTTCACTAAGTGTGATTAAAAGTTTATTATACCAACGTCTTTGGACTCTGCAACCCAATCTTACTTCAGAGTTACAATGCTAACTCACTATGGAATTTAGCCACCATATCTGATGTCCATACCTCAGGTGTTCTCTGTTGTGTGGAACACTTCATGTTTTGTCCAGAATATGCATAGAGGTCCCATATTCTGTGAGAAGAATGAGGAAACAGCCTTGGTTCCTAGATTGGTATTTATTTTTTCATCTTATGACCACTATATGAGAAACTTTGCTTATCATTTTTATTGTTTTAGTGTTTTTTCTTTCTTTCTGTCAAGTCAGCAATCATGTTATGGAATTCTCCTTGCTAGAGTTTGATATTCCAGTAGGGAATAATCAAATCTAGTTTATACCAAACCTGACAGATCAGTCCTCTGACTGCTTTCAAAACACCTTGCCATTTCTAATGGCTGTTAGCTTCTCAATTGGTCTGTTAAAGCACATTCTCAGACATCTCTTAAGTAAAACCAAAAAGCAAAAGAGCCTAGTCCACAAGTTTGTTGCTGTTGTATCRCATCGTTTAGGGTTTTGACCTGTTTAACTCTGAACTCCCAACAAAACGTCTGGATTTAAAGGAAGGAAATGAGCAAAATTCAATGATTTAACTATAATCTGCTACAGTTCTTCTGTGATGGGTATTGCAAAACCAGTTCATTTGTAACATGAGTTTCTGTAGCATTTTTTACTTGTATTTTTTWAAAAATTTAACATGTGTCATTGTCTTCTTATGCATTCCCTTAATGTCTTGAGGGACTCAATTACTGTATATTAGTTTCTAACATTTTACTTGTTAGAATTCAATTTGTTTGCTTTCCTGGGGAATAATGCAGTTTTGGAAAGAAATATTGCTGTGTACAGAAAATATTCAGTTACTGCTCTAAACATGATGCCATTGATCATTTTTATTTTGTATTTGTAACTTTCAAAATTAAAAGTGTGACTTGAATTGCAATGACAGATCGATTATTGAAATTGTCTATCAGGGTGTTTATTTCTTCTAGACTATAAACATTTTTCAGCCACTCAGAACAGTCTTAGAATGCAAAATACCATCTTTCAATGTTGAAATTGCTTCTGGGTTTGTGCCTCGGACATGGCTCTCCCATGGAATAAAGGCACTTTGCAGCTACTGTATTTTTAACCAAGATTGGATGACAGATCCATGGGGTAGATCTGCCAGCATACTAATTGTATTGGAGACTGAGCTTCAAATCACTGTCAGTTGTTTAATATGTCATTTGGTAATTCATCTGATGTGAAATAATGCATGCCATTCCATGTCACTGAGAAGCAGAACAGCACTTTATACCTTTGGGTAGCAGAAGACTAAGTGGCTGGTTTACCTGCTACCTCTTTGTGCTGATACAACCTAAACTGTCATTAATTGATAGGAACTGAAAGTCAGAAGCCGAAATCTTTTTGTCTGTAGCCTCAAACTTGTCATAACTGACTTCAGCTTGTCACGTATGCTGGGTAAAAGTGCCTTACGATGTAAAAATTGTATTTATATGTTCCCAAGTAGCATCACCTGCTGGGGAGTAATTCTGTTGTGGTGTTAATATTTAGAAGAAATGTACCTCAGCAGTGTATTTACTGTACATCTCTTATGTCCTTAATTGTAGTTTTAAAAAGCATGACAATGTATGATAGGTATAAAACATTTACATCATTTTTTTAAAAGACAAAATACTGCCATTGCTGTCTTTTTATGCATATTTTAGCTTGGGATTTCAGACTGTCTGGGGCTTTTTGGTTTTTTWTTTTTTTTTTTTTTAAGCAGTGTAATCTTTGCAAGCATATATTAAAGGTTATTCTGGAGCATCTCCTGCCTTCCCAGAAATGTTAGAAGTAATGAAAGTGCTCTATAGGTGAAATAGGTATGTTTAAATTAGCTAGTTAAATTAATACAATAAATTTGTTCCTAGGATTTTTCTTTTTAATAGGCACCTTCTGCTTTCATCTCACAATCAGAAAACTCTCTCTATTCTAAGAGAACTTGTCATATGAAATGGAATTCACTTTTTTGGCCTCTGGGCTTTCTGTTTCCCTCTCCCCCACTTTCACAAGAGTAGGATGTCCCGTTTAAGGACTCCTGGCACGCTCTGGTAGTGGCAGGGTCTGCCCAGCTCCCTGTGGCACCTAGGGGAGGCCGGTGCCAAGGAAGGCCGGGCTCAGAACAGCACTGCCCAGATGCCCCGAGGGTCCCGCTGGTGCCGTGCCCGGTGCCAGGGCAGGATCAAGCACAGCAGGAAGCTCTGCTATCCCTCCATCCTGCAGAGCAGTGAAAGGTGCAGTTCCATTCCACCCTCTGTGTGGCTCGCGAGGGGGATGGAATAGATCAGGTGTCCAAAAGGTCCCTTCCTTCAGCAGATGTTGATACGCAGGAGCTGCTGTGGTGACTCTCTAGCAGGAGTTACACCAGCTTAACTCCTGCAAGGCAGGAGTCCCTAAGTCCATCACACTCCACAAAGCCTGATCTTCAGATACAAAGAGCTGTGCTGATACAGGAAAGTACCATTTTACTGAATTTGGCCCTGAATTTCTGCTATTAGTAGACAAGAGATGTAATTTAAGGGAATAGAACTTGCTGCTTGTTGTTGCCTTTATGAAGAATAACTTTTTTGCACCAGAGCAGAAGATGGAATGATACCTTTTTGAAATATCTGACTTATCTGGCAGGTGTGATAATCAGTGCCTTCCAAAAAAGATTAATATGATGAATCAGATTGACCAAAAAAAATTAGTTCTCATTAGATGAAACTAATCTTAAAAGAACTGAAAATACATTATAACAAATAGTAACTCTTTTCCATGTCACCAGAAGCAGAACTGTATTAGTGATGGAGGTTTAAAAAGAAAATAATGAACACAGCTCTTAATTTATATATACTTGTTGAAGCAATTTCTATATATGCATATGTATGCACATTCATTAGTCAGCAGTGACATCTCAACCCTTAAAGGATCCTGGAGAACTGTAGCTTGTCAAAAAGCACTCAGGTTAGGCTAACATCTGCAGCTTTTGCTCTAGCATACATTTACATTAGGTGTAAAGACAAGGAATGTATAAAAGAGGGTAAATGCATTCCTATCGACAATGTTATGTATATTTTGTTCCTGTTATATTTGGCTTTACTTCCAAAGTTGTAGTTTGCAGTATTAGTTTCTTTTTATTGGTATCCTTGCATATATATATTCAATAAATGAGTTATGAATTTCATATTTGCATATCTGTTCTTTTTCTGAAAGTATAACTTTAAATTTGACCTTTAAATTTTAAATGCAGATTATCCTATTGCATTAACAAGCCCATGAACCTTTTACCAGGAGCAAGAGAAGTGAACATGCATTTTGATAGTACGTTGGTTACTCATTGGTAACTACATATCTGTGTTTTCTTCTTCACTCTGTTCAATAAGAGATGAGCTGCTCTGCATTTACCAGTCATTAATAATATGAAGTGACCAAGCCTGGAAAGTTACATTCTTGGTCTTCAAGGACTTGTCAAAGTCCTCTATGGCATGAAATGATTCAGATTAAGATACCAAGGAGCACACAGGGTAATGCAGTCACCTATAGATGTTATAATGTTATTAAGGGKTTTTTTTTGGTTGGTTGGTTGGTTTTTTAGATCAGTTTAAGGGCAGTAGGTATTTACTGTGACCTGCAAATTCATATTCCCCGTCAGCATAGACTCAGTTGTGGGGAAAAATTTCTGTGCATCATCTTCAAATAAGAGTGGCCAAATAATGAGGTCCTATTGTTGAAGTGTAATTATTACTCTGATTCCACATCCACTTCTGAAGAAAAAAAAAAAAAAAAAAAGTCCCTGATGAGATTAATGTGGGTCTTTCATTTTCCAAGTCAATGGTGGGAACAGTTCGTTTGCCATGAAAGTATTTACTGGATGCATGTTTAATTCATTTACTGTATGAGATTTTTTTTTCTTTCTATTTTTAAATCTAGTCAACTGGGATCTTTGAAGGAATTACAGGATATTGTTGAGGAACCTTCTCTGTCTGGTGACTCTCCACTATAACAAGTCATTGAAATCATGAAACAATGAAGGAAGGTCCCCCGGACCCAGGAGGAAARGACTTTCTTTGTCCTTGTATTGTGTGATGTTGGTGCAGAGTAGTGAGTACTTCCAGGATAATTATGTCCCTATTTAAGACAAGTTATGCTTATTTTGTCCTATGTAATAGATTCATAGTCTAGACAAAATAGTTTACTTCATACCTAGATTAGATAATGGGAAATCGCTTCCAAGCATTAAAGACAAAAGGAGGGGAATGTGGTAAAATGTCAAACCAATGTTCCTTCTAGAGCAAGTTCTCAAGATTTTTGAACAAAGGAGAAGCAGTAGATAAAACACCAGTTTTATGTGGTGGATTTTACATAAGAAAGTAGAGGACTTGTCTATCTGGCACCAATTTATAGGTAAGAATATGAAATTTCTTTGTAATGATTACAAATTATTCGTAGTTGGACTGGAAGGATGTATTCAGTGGGATTCTCTAGGGGTCTGTTGTAATCTGATCTCATTTGGTGTTTTCATTAGCAGCTTRGAGCGGATACGCTCATTAAATTGTAGGGAGCACCAGACCCGAGATGACACACAGCAGAAAATAGAACAACAATTCAAAATGATCACGGTACATCCAAAAAAAAAAAAAAAAAATCAGTAAATCCAGCAAGGAATTTAAGTGCCATTTTGTGCACTTTGGTAGAAGCAATTACTAGCTGAATAAATTCAGTATGGGACAGGCTGCTAGGGCAGTGCTAGCACAGAGAAGTACCCAGAGTTGTAGTCWGTCATCAGGTGAACATCCTGTTATTGAAGGGGGGGAAAAAAAACCTTGGAATATATTAACAGAAATGTAGTCTTCAAGATGCAGGGGATAATCCCTGTTGTGATAGCAGAAAGCCTTTCTTGGAATACTGTATCAGCTGTAGGCACTGTTCTTCATGGTAAATGTGCAGCAACTGGAGATAGTCCAAAGAAAGTCAACAAGGAGGGTGACAGGATGAAAGATTGGGCTTGTTTCAAGGAGGTGGGAGAGATGCTCTCCAATCCGTAAGAAACAGCTGCAGAGATGAATGAAATAATCTCCCTCACCATTGTGGAAAGAACAAGAAAAATAGATTTTAATCACAGCAGGATAAATTTAGCTTGGGCAGCAGAATGCAGTGGTTGGCCTTGGCAGGAGGAAGAGCTAAGCTCTGGAATATGCTGCCTAGAGAGGCTGTGGAATCTCTGGTACTTAAGGTTTTAAAGAGAAGGTGGCTGGTGGTGTTGGGCTGAAATGTCTCCCAACTGCCTTGTATTTTCTGGTACAAAACACTGCATTGACAGAGCTTCTGCGCTTGACCTCAGGGTGCACCGTCCTGTGCTTCCTTCTTCAGCTTTTTACTTAAAATAACACTTGGAATAGCAAGGAGACTTGGAATAGCAGGAGACTGACATGCTCTTGTGGAGTAGCCTGTCTCTGTGTTCTTGTTGCAGATATGCTGAGACCATCCAGGCTGCAGCCTTCTCTGCTCTGCGCTTTCCAATGTTTTAGGAATACCCAAGTACTCAAGTTGTTGAATGACTTTATACCCTTGAAAGTACGTTTCTGTTGTGTATAAATACATGGAATGCCAYGGTACTTCATGCAATTATGCGTAAACATGCAGCTCGGGCACAGAATTCCTTGCTGCCTCTTAAATGAACCCATGCACATACTGGGGTAATGCAGGGTTGGGGGTGACTGGTCTCTTACCCAGTCTTCACAGAATTTAGTGGTAGCAATCTGAAACCTTTACCTGATTTTTATTTTTGCCAGAGATGGTCTCTGACTTGGTTTAAACCAAGTTCTTGTGTTTTTCCTGAAACAATATTCCAGCTGATAAGAGACCCACCAGGGCCAATGCTGTCCTGCTGTTTCTACCCCAGAGAGACATACAGGACACTCACAGAGCTGCAATACCCCTTTTCATAGTGGCAGTTCCAAAAAAATCCCATATTCACATTCCAAGACTCCATCCCACGCCTGGAGGTGGAGGCTATTGCAGAGGCCTGGGGCAGGGGGAGGAAGAAGCTCTTCCCTTCGCAGTGTGCTAAAAATAGGCTGTGCAAACAGCTCTGCACTCAACTTCCTTCTGGCCTGTCGCCTGCAGCTGCTTTATAGCTTTAAGCCTAGATACCTCTCCAAAACAAGAAGTCGCCTGGGTTAAACACAGGCAGGAACCCGTTTAATCCTACTGTTCCCTGCTGCTGTTCGTATCAGTTCTGTCTTCCTCCAGGCTGTAGGTMGCTTACTCAGGGTTTAAGTTCACATTTTTTGACTTAAAGCATTAGTAAAGACTRGCTCTGGCCATCCCTGAAGTTTGCAGAGTTCAAAGCAGGGAGGAGGCCTTTAATCCAAAGCTGAAATATCCAGATGACGTGTCCAAGAGGTGCCTTCCTCTGAAGCAGACTGCACTTGCTGGGTTGCAAGAGGGATTTAAAACTCTCCAAATTATTAACTAAACATCCTTGAATCCTGACACGACAGTATGAAATTRGAAGGTCAGCATCTTAAAGCAGACTAGCTTAAAGAAAATAAACCTTGCTAGAGGAAACTGGGTGCTTGGATTGCATGGTAGAAGGGGCAYGTTCTGGTCTCAAGAGTTTATAAGTGATTTGGTTTTGCCCTGTTTTCCAGTGATTTTTATCTTCTTATTAGTACCAACATTTTGCTGCAAATAAATAACACTACAGTCTTCATTACATTATGATTTGGAGGACTGATATTTCAGTTTAAATATCAAGTTGCCTTCTTCTTTGTTTCAAAAGTTATTGAAAAATTAGATATAAAAAGCTTTGTGTTTTCCTATATCCCCATTTCTCATTTGTAGAGGACTGTTCTCCCTGATAGTAATTAAATCTCTGGGTCATTTTCAGCCACATCTCAGGAATCACTGAAACCAGAGTAACTTTGCGTAGATGGGGTTTGCTCCCAGTCATTAATTGTCTGATATTCAGCTTTTATTTGAAATGTCTGTATCCGATTACCGGATTGCATGTAGCAATTAAAGAGAACATCAATATAATTGCTCTTTACACCCTTTTTAAGCTTTCATCGATAACAGGCCTGTACTGTGTAGAAGTTTGCAATTTAAGATGCTCTTGGCGGTGGTTCAGAGCCAGGAGCTCCGGTCTGCCTCATTCCCCTTGACAAAGCCRTTTTCTTAGTTCTGGACCATATTTACATATTTATTGCCATATTTACTTATAGAAGGGAACTGAATTTTAGGGAACACTTGGATTGGGAACAAACCAAGCAACCTGAGCCTTAGATAAGCCTTGGCAAATTTAAAAACTCTTGCTGGCATCACTGAGCAGAACTTGAGTTAGCCCATCAGCYATCACAGATCTACAATGTGAAGTGTGGATTTCAGTTCATAGAATAACATGTGGCATTCCTAGCCTCCAGTGACGAGCAATATGAACTCACATATTTCCCCATTTAAGCAAAAATGGAGTTCAGCAAGCACTCTTCCGTGGAAGCATCCGCCTGTTCTCACCAGGGCTCTCATCCCTGGCCTTGCACCAAGCCCAAACTTGGATTCAGGGTTGGCTGTTCCTCCGAGAGCAGCGTTTAACGTTGGAGGAGCTGAACGCTTTTGCCAGGTCGCGCTGCACCCCTCGGAGCTCTTGCAGCGGGAGGCCTGCAGCGCCGCTCCCCGCTGTCCTGGAGCTCCCTTCCCGGCTCAGCCTCCCGCACACTCTGCGCRAAGGAGATTCCTGAGATGCTTGAACAGCTGCCACCGCGAGGCAGGGCCCTGGCCCGGGCGCTGCCACCTGACGCCGAGGCCGCACGGCGCCGCTGCCAGCTGGATCTGCCAGCCTCAGCATGACCGGCTCCTCTCGGCGACTTATCTGA